TTCTTCTTCTTCTTCTTCTTCTTCTTCTTCTTCTTCTTGATCTTATTCCTGGTTGTTCATCATCATGATCATCTAACTGGCTTCTCCTTCTTCTTTTCCTTCCATTTCGTTCTCATTTTTTTATGTCCTTCTCCTTTCTCTCCGTATACTCTTTGCTTTTTAATTCTTTGTGTACGCTTATGTCAATATATTCTCTTTAATTCTTCCACAGACGCTAGAGGAATGGCAAACGGTATTTTGGATCAACGCCATTCTCATGTGTATTGGAACAGGGTTATTCTGCTCTTTCCTTGAAGGAGACAGACAAGCCTGGGATGTTGTGGAGGACTCGAATGACGACAGCGTTGACTCATCTAAAAACATCGAAGCATTCGAACCAAACAACTAAACGACTAGTGTTGATTCATATTCCTGAACATCATAAAAAACTCCTCCATGGAATTATTCCAGATCTATCAATAGTCACTTTACAAGAATCTTTTTAGCAGTTACATTTACATCTTGCGGAAGAAAGTTTAAGTTTATATTGGATAGATTTTACAATCACTTGTATTGATACTTTAAACTTGTAAATTCTTTATGAAACACTGACTTAGCCTAATATTTTAATTTATCTTTACACTGCACATTTTCCATTCAGTAAATTTCCCAATCGAGTCTCATCCAGTGAGGTTTGCCTGAGGTCCTCCGCCATGGTAGGGAAGGTTGGGAATCAAAATTTAACTGAATGTGATTGCTCTTGACAGAAACAAAAAGGAATCTGTATATTAAGCTGCCGAGGTCCGGAGAAGGGAGAAATTCCAGAAAGACAGGAATTCGAATCGGTTACTCTACGGGTTAGAATTTAAAGGAAATACATATTAAAGTTCTAAATCTATTCAAGTTTTTAACCATAACTTGGAAATTTCGCGCGCGCTAATGGCTTAGAACCATTGTCGATTAGAGGCTAGACCTGCTTGTGCTTACGACATCCGTCACGCGCACTGAGCGAAGGGATGAAACGGCTTTTTCAAACTATCTACTTGTCTTTTTGTATCATTTTTGACGTCATTTCATGTAATATTTCAAAGCCGACAATGAGGACTGGACGGGATTTCAAGTCAAAGCAATTAGGAACTAATTGCGCGGACTTGAAATCCCGTCCAGTCCGATATTGGAGGCTTTGAAATGACTTCTCATCTCATTAATTATTCGACTTGGAGTAACTGGAACAAAATTAATTCAGTCCTAGGACTGAATTAATTTTATTCCAGTTACTCCAGACTGAATGCATTCCTTTCACAGCACTTTACCAGGTTTCAAGTAACATCATGTGACCCAAAAATAGCCCATTGATTGGCTGGTTTACTCATGCATTATTAATGAGTATGAGAAGTTCGATTACAGTACAGACCCATAGAAAACTGACTTCGATTTGTTAAACAGACCATAGGAAAGGAACCACGATTTGCTAAATTTACCACAAAAAACTTCATTAAAACGCATTTTTTCGACGCTTTTAGTTATAAAAACAACCAACGGAAAGAGCGCGCGACGTCAGCTCATTGGTCTGTTCTCTTATCGACGAAAAACATTATCCTATCAGAAATTAAAAAATTTTGGTAAAAGGGAAAATGGAACAGATTGGTCGTTGAGAAATAATTATCCATTCTTTTGCATCACTTATCCTTATCCTTACTATTGCTTTAGTTTGATAACTGCACGGAAAACTATATTAGATATACATTACAATTAACAATTATTCGCCAAAGGCGAAGTGATTATCGGTTGTGGAATATTTACCGAGCCACGAGTAATATTATTTTAACATAATTTTAGACTTGAATATGAGAAAAGTCGAAATTCAGGATAAAAAAACGTTTTAGTATTACTTCTGCTCTGGCAAACTTTGGAAAACCTCATAATCACCGCTCCAGGGGTGATTATTGCTCAGAATCACCTGTCGCTCGACCAATCACAGCTCGAGAAACTCTATATTCAAGTCTAAAATTATACTAATGGTATTTGATGCGAGCCAGAGGTTTATGGCCTATCACGTGGCTTTAACTCAATATTTTTAGATTTTAGTGTCATGCGCAGTTTGTACCATAGTATTCTGATGACGTAATCGACGTATTCCACTAAGGTCAGAATACTGACACCAAGGAACAACCCAAGGTTACCACCAATGTCGCCTGAAATTTATAAGATTGTAAAGATCTGTGAGTTAGCCATGCCCTGATTTAGATCAGCCCAGAGTTTGTCTCATGGTTCTATCTGTGAGTTAGTCATGCCCTGACTTAGATCAGCCTAGAGGTTGTTTTAGGGTTTGATCTGTGAGTTAGCCATGCCCTGACTTAGATCCGCCCATAGGTTGTTTCAGGGTTTGATTTGTGAGTTAGCTTTGTTGGATCAGCCCAGAGGTTGTTTCAGGGTTTGTTCTGTGAGTTAGCCAGAAATTGTGTTAGGACACTGCAGAATGTATTCATCTTTGATATTTGTTTCAAGACCCTATTCATCTTACCAAGTATTATCACATATCACATACCAGTTTTGTGAATACTTACTCAATATTTCAAACCATTCAAAAGCTGGTATCTGCTTGACTTCTTCGTAATAATCGCTTTCAAGATAGACCTCAAATGAAACGATGCTGTCTCTGTTGAAAGTTAAGTAAAGATAGTTTCTGACTCAATATATAACTGTCCGAAACATTAGAAGGTTACGTCAATCTGTCAATTGGAGCACATAAAACCAAGGGTAAAGGCAAATCTTCCATATATCACTAGAAATTGCCCATTGCCAAACAAAAAATTGTCATTCGTGTGGCCACCAACCTCACATTCATATTTTGTAAGCTTACCTTATTTAGAAGCGAACACAGATTTTTTGGGAGGGATTTTTCTGTCATTTAAAGCTTTAAAATGTCTAAAATTTGAATCAAAACTTCCCGCACATGTTATAGCAAAGAAACAATTGAAACATTTTGTCCCACATCTTGGATTTAGCTTAGAGACCCGGCCTTAGACAAAGGAAGCCCAAGGGGCTTAAAGTAACTGAGAATTTCACTAATTACCTGACGAACTGAATCTTTTCCATGTGGGATTTGTTTTGTATCTCTTCACAAACACTCAGTCTTTGGTTCTTTAGCTTGCAGATGTCATCCAAATCGTTTGCCATAGTTTTTGAATTCAGTTTAGCTGTAGATAGTTTCGTTTTGTACAAGCTATTTTTACAAGATTCTCTACAACTGTTCACGCACTTTAGATACGAATCCACTTTTGTCATGTTTTCTATGAAGAAAAGTGAATTTTGCTTTAATTATTGATGGATGGGTGGATGAATGGATGCATGCGTGCATGCGGTGTCAAGGCATACTTACCGGCAAGTGCCAAAATACAGTTAGTTTGTACATCGTCTAAACACAATGGTAGGTCACCTGGTACAAGATTACAAAGTCAAATCAAAAACCAATGCAGTAAAAATAATGCAATCTTTCCTTTAATGAACGTTTTATCTTAACGAAGTAACTCAAATTCAAGCTACCTACGAACTGACTTATTATACTACAAGAATATGTCATGGGTGGTCCCTCATAAATATGTAGCTTTATTTGATCAGGAAAGCATATTTTTAAAAGTCCTTTTTAAGTTCTGTAGTGCCATTCGCAAAATTCGGTCAAGCCCCCCTTATATGTTTGGCTGACTTCGCACCTAGTTTCGGATTATTCGAAAATTAAATTTATAGAAATGACGTACTATCACAAAAGTTGTCACACAACACTGCATTCCGTACATTCCTTTCATCCAAATCTCTTTTTACCTGACATTTCTATGGTTTTACAATGGCAGCGGTCCACAAGTATCTTGTAAAAACAGTCTTCAATGCAAACCACACGGCTGTAAGAATATTTTCCTCTGTTTACATACTTCAATTCCTCTTCACCACAGTTGGTCTGGTATGGTGTGCCTAGATTGATGAACTAGGGGGAAAATAGAACCTTAAAAAACTCATCATGCGAATGAATTATGAGAACTTGTCAAAGTGATAGTATCATGTGACTTACCTGTATACGGCGAACAGCACACGATGTATGTATACCAGGCGCGATTAAAAGCGCGTAGGGGTCGAGTTGCGGATATTCCCCACTTGGATGGACAACGACTTTCTGCCCTACAAACGGCTCGTAAGAATTTGGCAAATACCAGTCTGTTCCAACGTTCATTTTTAACTGAAGACCTTGAGAAATTCCAGCCATACCCACCTCTGATTCCGATGGCTGGAATGTAAAACACTGAAAAGATTTTGAATCATAAAAAGCCTTAAAATTTTGAGCTCCACAAGTTTTTCCAGCCCATGTGCAAGAAAGCAGTTCCTTTGGTAGAAGGATGTCATCAATGCCATAAGAAATGCTTGTCAAGTTCCTTAACATAACTCTTATTCTATTGAGTTGGCTAACGTTGCCTGTCTTAATCGTAGAGTCGAAATTAACTCTAAATGACCTTGACATGTAAGAAATATCGTCCTCGATTTCTCGATCAGTCGTGTTCGGGAAAAGTCGCTTCACCTGTCGTGAATACTTGCCTGTGTGAATGCTATTCATGTTACAGATAGTAACTTCTGGAAAGCTAATTTTGGTTTCTTTTTTGATCGTGATAACGGTCGAAAAAGGTCTTGATCGAAAGTATTCCACCGCCTCCTTCACTTGTAACACACAGAAGCTGGTGGCTCCCAGCAGACAAGCAGCCCAAAATATCCTCCTGAAAACATTCTTCTCGGCGAGAAAACGAACGCCATGGAGGGTTGTGCAGTGTGCTAATTCTCTCAAGCTTTCAGGCTTCTCTTTCAACATTTCCTCGTTATTTGACATTTTTGAGGTCAGTATTTTGGAAAAGCTTCTGCCAACCTTTTGAAAAATGAATCTAGTGCTTCTTGTAATCGAAAAAAATGCCGAATACAAAAACCCGAAACACAATTACAGTTTGTATTACATGATGTGAATTGAAGTCTTTGCTTGCTAGTCATTGGCTACTCTCTTAATAGTGACACAGCAAACAATTAAGTTGCATGCAGTTTTGGCAATCAAATTGTCAGTTTTTACCAGCTTTTAAAATCAGAAAGAATAAGAATGTTTTCACTTCCTTAGGATCACTAATAAAAATAAAACCGCAAAAGCATTTACTTGGAAAAACTTCTCACGATCTTGGCAAAAAAGTTTTGTGCATGCACAAAAACAAAAAAAACAAAAAAACAAAAAAAAATCAAAATCAAAATCAAAATCAAAATTAATCAAAATTAAAAAGATTCAATCCATATTCCAACCCCAAAATACAATGAATAGATTAAAATGAAAACAAAATGATTTGCTACAAATAATTTTTATCAAGTAACATAACTTGCAATCTCGTAAATCTTTATTCATGTGAGACTTGTTATAAGTTTAATTAGACCATATGTTTGCGCTAAAGTTGTTTGAAAAGATCCCAGCAAGATAGGACAAACATAACAAACAAGAAAACTCAAGAGAATAGGAATTTATTCATTTATCTAACTTTGCATTGAGTTCCGAAATACGCTCGTCGCTCCGGGGAAAGAAAAGAAAAGGGATAGGAATACTTGTTCTGAGGCAGGGAAACTGCAACAGCTAAGTCCAATTATTGCGGACCCTTATCAAAATAATAAAGTCAGTGTCTTGGCATTACATTTAGGAGCAGAACGTTGCGTCAAAACGACTCAAGCTTACCCCCTAGATTCCATTAATGGTTTCAATATTTTAATATTCAACAATTATTCGCCGAAGGCGAAGAGATTATCGGTGGAATATTTACCGCGAGTAAATATCACCATAATCACTGAGCCTTCAATAATTGTTTTAGCATAATTTTAGACTTGAATATCATAGACTATCAGAGAAAAGTCAAAATTCACGATTACAAAAACGTTTTAGTAGGACGTTACTAAAACAGGGAATGGAGAATAGTGACTGGGATGAGCGATCAGCGGTATTACCCTTAAAAAGTGTCATGGCGCTTGCAATCTAGCTTTTTTTATAATGAAAAAATTGCCAAATATTCCACGGCAGTGGTTCGTAATCGTACTAAAAATGTTCCATTCTCCATTCCCTGTTTTAGTAACGATAGTTGGCTGACAGTAATATATTCCAAATTCTAGTGTCCCTAATCATGCATGATTTCTGATAAGTTGATGTTTTACAAAAAGGTTGGTAGAATTTGGTGTCACTGGAACAGATGGTAATGCTCTAACAGTTTCTGGTTTTGATGCGCATACTTTGAGAATATAAGGAATTTTCCATTTCCAGAATATTCATAATTCCTTCTGTTTTAGGGATTGTTATTTTTTGCTATTTGTTGGATTGGAATAGCAACACTCAGTCTTGAGTGAACAAGTGAACAATGGACTAAAAGTTAATTCCTTTAGAGTGATTTATTATTACTGTGCAAGAATGGCGAAACTAACAGTTGGTATGACCACAAGCCATAATGGGCATTATAAATCTACAAAATATTTAACTATAGCTATACTGGTTTTGATTACATAGTGATTTCAAAAATATCAAATGTTATATCTAAATAACCCTTCGGCTGAATATACAAGATAATCGGCCGTTTACGATACAATCGGGACGATCAACAAAAAGCGTTGCGTTATGCGTTACGTTGATTTACATTACTACTTATCTTGACCTTCAAGGGTCACACGAATTTAAGCGAGTAGTTAGTTGATCAATATACATAAGGAATTATATTGTTTGCGTAACATGAAAATTCTGTTATATAAAATCTACGTATTGCATAATATGCGAATATAAAGAGTCCATCTGCGTTCGATCACTATGCCAGTTAGTCTCCATCGCATTCGTTTTTAGAGTCGGTCGTCACGCGATGCTCCCTCCCCACGACCGACACTAAAAATGGATGCGAGGGAGACTATATGCCAGTCTATTTGTAAAGAAACAATAACTGATCTTTTCTTGTTCCAAAACGCTTTCCATCTTTGACCATAGAGGATTCTCGAATCAATTCTAGCGTTTCTTTTGTTTTCTTTTTATCTGCCGTCTTACGGAACTCTTGGACATAAGTAAGAAAATCTAGCAAAAGATTCCCTTCGATTGAATTCTCGTCAAAAACGTCCGTCACATCGACGTTGTATTCTTGGTTAAAGAGTTCGTACTTCCAGCCACATTTGTCAGCAATTGCTACAATATCATCAGCAGTTAACCAGCATTCATTAGTTGAGTGCCCTCCATGCCACACGTGGCCCTGCATCTTGCAGCAGTCATACAGCAAATCTTTGCCAACCACGAAGCAAGTAATTATTCCGTTTGGCTTCAATTCTTCCTCGAAGCAAAGTCCAAGGGTTTTCTTGACATCCACATAGCTAGTAGAGTGGATGAAATGAATCACGTCAAACTTGATCTCATCGCTTTTAGTTTCTTTGTACCGTTCAAATGTCATTTCGCAAAGATCGAATTCCGTGTCTCCGTGGCTCGAACTTTGAATAACTGCTTCTTTGTATAGGCTCATCGAAGCTGCACTTGGTTCCACCGCTCGGTTAAAAATTTTCACACGATGATTTCAAAATCGGTTTTTCCGGTTCCGCTTCCAATACTTAAGATACGAAATTGATTTTCAGGCTTGTGTTTCTTGACCATATCTTCAATCATGGGCGGAAGATGGAGGTTAAGAAATTCGTTATTATTCTTAAGGTTTCCTGATTTTTGGCGATGCACTTCCAAGCTTCTAACATAGTGATCTTTGCCATTAATAGAGAACGTTCCTTCCATTATTGAAGCGACGAAATGTTCACGATGAATTGTTCACGTTTCGTGACGACACTAAGAACGGCTGCGGATTTGTGTTCCCCCGAGTTATGTGTTCCCCCCTCCCCTCCCTTTGAAACATCTTTTGACACACGACTCTCTCCCCCAGGCCAAGGACATATCTCTATCGTACATCTCTATCGTACATCGTATAACTGCGTGATCCTCTACTGCTGTTGCTATTTTGGGAGATAAAATTTCATTTTCCGAATTTAATAAATCTTCTCCTTGGTCTCGTGGTAATATTCATATGCAAAATCTCTTTGATGTATATCTAGCCCTACATGGCCGCCAAAAACAGATGAATGACACTCCTCAAAGACCCTCTGCTTCTCTTCACGTCCTCTGATTACCACTCTCTTTTCCCCTCCTTTTTCTACGTACCATACTACGCGATGCTAGTGAGTTTCTTCGTGCCCAATTATTTCGAGCGAGAACTTCACAAAATCAGTAGGATGTTCCTTTCGGGATAAATAGTTAAAAAGATTATCATACTGTGAAGCTTCCATGATTTTTTAAAATCTTTCGTTGAATTTAGATTTGAAGAAAATTCTAAGATTTAACCGGTTTGTAAACCAAAAACCAATCATTTATAGAGCATCCTTGACCTGGGGGAGAGAATCGTGTCAAAAGATGTTTCATAGGGAGGGGAGGGGGGAACACAAAACACTAGTGTCCAGTGTTCGGGGGAACACATAACTCGGGGGAACACAAATCCCTGTGACACCGCTACGCTAGTCTCCCCCACAGCCGCTTTCAGTGTCGTCACGCAACGCTTTCTCCCCTGAGTAGCTCAGGGAAAAAGCGTTGCGTGACGACACTGAAAGCGGCTGTGGGGGAGACTACCGCTACGCAGGCTAGCATCGGAATTAGTGTCGTCACGCCTAAGTAGGGGAGTAAGTGTTGCGTGACGATGCTAATAGCGGCTAAGGCGAAGTGATTATCGGGGAATATTTACCGAGACGCGAGTCTTCGAGCGGCGAGGTAAATATTCCCCAATAATCACTGAGCCTGAGGCAAATAATTGCTTTAGCATAAATACACAGGTGATTCTTTCAAAAAATAAAAAAGAAGATAAAAGGCATTTTTTCCGGTAACAGCAACAAAGCGGCTGGCCGCCATTTTGGATTTTCTCTCGAGGTGATTATCGTGTGATAGTGTGAGTTTCTTGACCAATCAGCGCGCGAGATTTTCTATAATCACCTGCGTATTCTTACTAATCCTATTTTATAAGCCTTTTCACAGTTTAAGAATCGATTCCACTGCGCATGCGATTTTATCCCGAATTTCTACATTCTTTTGTTTAAACCTTCTTTRTTCTTAATTAAACAAAAGAAGGTGAGAAATTCGGGATAAAATCGCATGCGCAGTGGAATCGATTCTTAAACTATGAAAAGGCTTATTAGACCTAGATAAACAAAACTTTTGTACAGCGGTATCTACATTAAGACAAAATGGCGGACGTTTTATATTCAGGAGAACCTCAAATGTCTCTTATTTTTAACGCATTATCGAGTAAAAAAGGCTTTTACACTCTGCTATAGCCCATAAAAAAGCATAATAAGCTAAAGAGAAACAAATATATTATGGAAAAGACCGAAAAACATCGCGAGAGCAGTTTTACACCGACTGTAAAACATGAAGAAAAAGACAAGGTTGGAATGTTAAACGCTTGAATTTATAATAATAATAATAATAATGATAATAAATTTATCCAGGAGACCTACTCGCAAAAGCGATTTTCAGTAGGGTCCTGTCCTATGGTCCTTATATTAAAGCAATGTTTTTTAACGTTATATTAATTTTCTTAAATAAGTTTCTTTTGTATTTATGGAAGGATGAAAAGACTAATGTTAGTTCTACAGCTATTGTGAAGTATGAAGCCCAGTTACCGGTTCTTCCATACGCTAAACTGCAACAGGTACGTATCAAATATATAAAATTACGTATAAAACTAATATTTCATTCATCAAATAATCTTACAAAGCTGTTAAATTTAAAGTCGAGGTATTTGAAACAAAAATCATAGGGAAAAAAATTATATTTAAAATACATATTATTGACAGAGAAATTTAAAACAAGATAAAAACGAGTTTAAATTTAACTTTTTGTTAGAGGGCAAACAATATATCCGTGAAACACTAATTACTAAATTCTTCAAAATAGTGTTACAAAAGAAAACAATAGAGTTAGCATAAAATAGTGTAAGTTAGTATTACTAATATTTCACGGATATATTGTTTGCACTCTATTCTAATTTTTTTAAATTTTAACTTATTTTTTCCTTTTCAAAGCTATTTAGACAATTTTTTTTGTATGATATTGTTAATTTTATCTATTTAAATCTATTATTGTTCTATGTAGGATACTGATCTGAATATTGCCCCTGCAAACTGGCTTAGAGACGGCAGGTTTTCAAATACGTTTCCCACCAACAGGAATCCACTTGAATTTTCAAGGTATTAAAAAGAAATTATTTGCTAATATTCACAGATATATTTAGTCATGATAAGAGCATCAGGTTCAAGACCAGGTGGTCGGCGGTGGACTAGTCGTTTATGTCAAAGATAACTACAAAGCTTCCACCATAGAGCATATATCAACAGTATCCGAAACGAACTTCCAACAACTCTGGCTAAAATTACAATGCAAGAAACTTAAATCATTTGTGCTATGCACAGTCTACAGGCCTCCTAGTACACCGATCAGCTTCCTCGAAGACTTGACCACAACTTTCATAGACTCCCAACTACTGGGACTTGACACAATAATAATTGGAGATACAAATACGAACATGCTGGGAGACTGCCCCGATGGCCGTGCTTTAACTAACTTCTGTTCTACTTTCAATTTACTTCAACTTGTAAAGGAAC